CCCGGGCTCCGCGCTCCCCACCCCCACTCCCGCCCCCTTCTCCCCGCCGCTTTCGGCTGGGGTCTGGGGCCGCTCCGCCGGCCGCAGAACTTCCTCTCCTGCAGCCGAATTTGCCTCCTCCCCGCCTTTCCCGGGCTCTCGGCAGTGCTCAGGGGGAGCTGAGCGCGCGCAGGCGGCCGCACCGGGCGAGCTGCACGGCCGCGGGCGGGGGCCGGGGACGCCGGCTCGTGCCCGCGATGGCGGGGGCTTGGCTCAGGTGGGGGCTCCTGCTCTGGGCAGGGCTGCTCGCGTCCTCGGCGCACGGCCGGGTGCGGAGGATCACGTACGTGGTGCGCCCGGGCCCCGGCCTGGCGGCGGGCTCCTTGCCTCTAGGCGGGCCCCCGCGCCCGCGGACCTTCAACGTCGCGCTCAACGCCAGGTACAGCCGCAGCTCGGCTAGCGCCGGGGCCCCCAGCCGCGCCTCCCCGGGGCCCCCCTCGGAGCGGACGCGGCGCACGAGCCAGCCCGGCGGCGCGGCCCTGCAGGGACTCCGGCCGCCACCGCCACCGCCTGAGCCGGCGCGTCCTGGGGGCCCCGATAGGCAGCTCCACCCTAAGCCCGTCGGTCACCCAGCGCCCGTCCCGTTCACCAAGCAAGCCAGGCAAGTCGTGCGCTCCAAAGTGCAGCAGGAGACCCAGGGCGGCGGGGGATCGAGACTGCAGGTTCACCAGAAGCAGCAGCTGCAGGGGTAAGCCCGCACCCCCTCCTTCCTTCCCTCACTCCCTCCTCGCGCGCGCCCCCCGCGCCGGGACCCGGGGGGTCAAGACCACTTAGAGCCCCGCCGCGGCCGCGGGCGGCGTGCGCGGTGGGTCAGCTTTCTCCTCCTTGCCCGCCTCTGCCCGCCCCGGAGCGCAGTGGCAAGAACGGAGTGCGGGGAAGCCGAGGAAGTTTAACCCACGAACTCTCACCGAGGAGAAACCCCGAGTGCATTGTTACTGAGCTGCGGGTAAACACAAAAGGCATTTCTGCCTGGGGCGTAACCTCCTGTGAGCGAACACTGCTACTCCTAGGAGATGGGCGTAAACATGAAGTCACCACAGTTTAATTCCTCAGCATCAATTAAACTCTTTGCAACTCACTCCCCCCCCCCAATGAAAAAAACGTTTTGGTTCCTGTTCTGTGGCCTAGAACTTCTCAGCATCCTTGAAATTCTGGGCTTGGCTTTTCTGCACCTGTGGGGGCTGCTTTCCTGGGGTGGGGTGTCTTAGCACCGACAGAATTGGAAAGTTTCTGTTATTGAGGACTCAAACACCCTCTCTGCCCCTTCCCCAATTAATCACAGGTTGTGTGTGTGTGTTTGTGTGTGTGTGTGTGTGTGTGTGTGTGTGTGTAACTAGTTTTGCTTATTCGGTGTTTTTCCCCCCAGGGGTGTTTCCAGGCATTGTGATCTCACCCCTGTTTGGACACTTCTAAAACTAAGATTCAATTTAAAATGTGGGCCCAGATACTGTACAAAAGACATTTAGCTCTACTTCACCCTGAGGGTTAAGGAAACCACTTACTTGGACCTTGTTCTCTTTTGTATAGCTCTAGGTCACGCAGGCTTTTTGGTTCTCCCACCCTTCCCTGATACATGGTCCTTACCCTTCTACGCGGGCAGCTTTGGGTTGGGCATCCTGGGTACCCCTCAGGTGTCCCTGGAAACCAGAGGAATGTGGAAGCAGGAGCCTGGGCTTGCGGGGGCCCCCTGGAAGCTTGGGTTCTCTGGAAGAGAGTGTTGCTTCTGCTAGACTCATGGGTCTTGCTTTGTTTCAGGGTCAATGTGTGTGGAGGGCAGTGCTGCCATGGCTGGAGTAAGGCCCCTGGCTCCCAGAGGTGCACCAAACGTAAGTTTCTCTGTTCACAGTGGCCCTGCATGGTAGGCAAAGTTGGGGGAACCAACAGGGGTCACGCCACTGGGCTGATGCTGCCCTGAAGGAGTTAATGCCTGAAATGCAGTCCACCCCCTTACCTGCAGCCTTTACTACCTAACCACTGAGGAAGGGCTGAGCCAGCATAATGATGCTATCAGTGCCAGCGCAGTTTGTTGTACAGAACCATGCATGCATCTAAGATTCCTCTGCCCTTGACTCAGGTATCAATCACTCTGTCACACCTGTGAATCAGGAGGTAGGAAAAAAATATTCCCATTGGGGGAAGTGCCATATGGCAGAACCAGGGCAATGAATTTAAACATGGAGATCAACAAATGAAAACATCAGCAGTTTTTAAAGCTTTCCGAAAAGAGCAACCAGAGTCCTCTTTCCTTGAGGCTTGTTTCCAAGGCTGTAACCACTCTCCTGTTCTTCAGAATTGACAAGTGGGTTTGGTTTCCTGCATTGCTTCTCCAGTTAATAGAAAATGGATTAATGATGCATATAGATCTGAAGACATCAGAAAAGATTTCCCCTATGCATTGTGAAGTTAAGGATTAAGTTAAAACATATTTTGAGACTCCTCTTGACAAGTTGCTTCTGTTTGGTACTAATTGGAAATACAGAAATTTCACTTCCACTCAGAAAAAGTTAAGCATCCTTAGGTGTTCTCTACATAGAGCTTGAGCCGTAACCATGTGGACTGGAATCATCCAAAATTTCAGCTGCTTATTAGTATTCAGCATGATAAGTCAAATTTAGCAATTTGTCTTGTATATGGTTTGGATTTTAAAATACTAGTGGATGAGTTAAAAAGAAAAAATCTAATATAGTCATTCTGGTGAACTTGCTTGTTGAAAAAAGCCTTCAGTCCATGAAAGAAACAGAAGGACTTCGTCATAGTGGCTTTAATTTTGTAAAAAGGAATGTCCAGCTGCTGGGAGGGCTGCCCTAGCCCCAATGCTGGGAGCTGGGGTGGAAAGGTCGACTGGAAAATCTGGTCATGTGGCACAGACAGCCCGGTGAAGGGAGAGGGACCCTGAGGTCAAGTTCACACTGGGTCAAATATGTGTTCTCAACACTAGTTAAAACAAACATTTAGGAACCATAAATTCTGTGTTTCGATAGTACTTAAACCTTCGTTGGGAAGCCCTCCTCCAGCCTTGTGGGCCCGCCTGAACACACTGCTCTCCCCCCTTGCCGGGCCTGCTTTATTGAAATGTTTGTCTGCCCGGTGAACCTCTGGCCCTTAGGAAGCCTGACTTGTCGAAAGGACCTTTGGCAGACCACAGGAGTTTGCTGTTTCTGACCCTGTTATTTGTTGTCTTGGATATTCCAAACATACTCAAACATGTTTGGGAGCTCGAATGAAATTTCCCTAAAATGCACATTTTGCTTCCAAGTCCTTCCTAGCAATGAACAGGGTGACTTGGAGTCCTAGGGCTGTGTCACCACTCTTTTAACACTGAGCAGGATGAGAGCATGCACCGAGGAGCTGCTGATGGGGTGAGGGTAACTTGTGCAGTACTTTCGAGCTGCTCGAGAGCATTTTCTTAATCTTCATATCCTGTAGGGGCAGGCGAGGCAGGCATGATTTATTACTCCCTTTACAAATAGGGGGCATTGCTCAGACCCCATCCCAGGTCTTGTAGCTCTTGGTATTTGTTCTGTCTACTGCCCTACACTGCTTGGATGTCCAGTGCTGCAGCATTCTCTCTTGAGGTCATGGTCTTAACTCTCTGTCCAGACAGCCGTGACTTGAATTGGCTTTCACTGCCACAATTTACTTTGTGATTTTCTAAGCTGTGTTAGTTTGCAAGGGCTGCCATAACAAAGTACCACAACCTGGGTGGCTTAGGAGAGCAGCCATTTATTGTCTCAGAGTTCTGGAGGCTAGAAGACCAAAGTCAAGGTGCTGACAGGATTGGTTCCTTCTGAGGCTGTGAGGGAAGGATCTGTTCCAAGACTCCTTGACTTGGAGAAGGCTATCTTCTCTCTGTGTCTTTACATCATCTTCCTCTATGTGTATCTATCTTTGTGTCCAAATTTCCCATTTTTATAGGGATACCAGCCATATTGAATGATGGCTTACCCTAATGGCCTCATTTTAACTGGATTACCTCTGTAAAGACCCTATCTCCAAAAAAGGTCCAAATAAGGTCACATACTAAAGTACGGAGGGAGGGAGTCAGGACTCCAACATATCTTTTTTTTTTTTTTTTGGAAGGGCGCAATTTGACTCATAACATAAGCCCATAGATGCTGTGCACATGGGCTTGAGAGGTGGGATACTCAGAGGTGGGTCACCCCTGGGGCACTTGGGGATTTCCAAGCAACAGCCCTTGGATGGGTGGGCGGAGGCTCAGTTGGCCCCTCCCACACAGGCTATGGTTGGGTCTGATGGGCTTCTTCTCTAATGCAGGAACTTTGGCTGCATCAGGGAGGAGGAGAGATAAGGAATTGGCCACTGGTTATTTTGGTTATGACTCTGGCCATTTTTATTTGGTCTGTTTTAAGAGTTTCTAGATTGGTGGTTCTTAAACATGATGTGTACCTGATGATCACTAGAGGAGTTTGTTAAAATGCTTTATTGAATCAGAATCTCAAGTTTTTAACAAGCACCACAGGTGACGCCAAAGAAGGTGACCCATATTTTGAGAAACAGTGATTCAGAAGGAACCCTCTGCTGGGCAGTATTTATGAACCTTTATGTGGGAATTTAGGGGCCAAACCCAACATTTACCAATTTAGAAACTTCTCAAGGTGGGGGCCCTCTAAATATTGGTATAGCTCAATTTTGAATAGTTGATACAAAGATTGCAGCTTATAGGATTATTTCATCCAGTTTTCCTTTAGTTAGTTGAATGTTTGATAAATATATTTATTTTTGCAAGAGTTGGAAATTTTCAAAATTGTTGATATGTAGGTGGTTAAAGTCATTTTGAAAAGGTTTAAATACTTTGGAACATATTGGGTGTTTTTTTCCCACTAAATACCCTATTTTTAATTATAAACTATTTAAATACACAAAAACCTAGAAAATAATATATCCGACAGGGTCATGTTTTTAAAAGCTTCCAGATGTAGTAATTGAGCACAATGATTTATAGATAAGGGAGAGACTCTGGTCTTATCTTGCTCTAAATGCGTGTTTTACTAATGAAATTTCCTGTCTTGTTAGTGGAGAGAAAATAGTACATAATTGGTTGGTGTGTCACAAATTAGTTGTTTTGGTACTTATGGGAAAATTCATCACAGCTGTATTTATCTATATTTGCTCATGGGCACCTATTCATTTGCCTTGCTTATTATTAAGGATTGAGCATTTCTGGTAGGCATAGCCCATTGGACTGTGAGATCTGGGGCAAGGCTAAGTTACCCCATTCACAGCACAGGTATAATGATGGTCTGTTCCATCATTCAGAGTCTTTGGGGGACCGCATGAAGTCTTATGTGAAAAGTGCTTGTAGAGCAGGACTCCTGCCCAACAATGTTTGAGCTCTTGGTGGGGGAATGGGCTCCCTTTCTGCTTAGGACCCCTTCTTCCCGACCCCCCTTCCCTGGGCACCCCAGCCTTTTACACGCCCCTGTTTTGCTTCTCAGATCCTCTGGTGAAAATCATGGCTTGCTCTCTGTCTGTTGGAGTACCGACTTCACTCTTACTTGGCTCTGGGTATGGCTGGACCAGGTGGGAGAGGCATCTGTCTACCCATCACTGTGGAGCTCACTGAGAGTAGGATTTTCTTTGTGTCATTTTAAGTACCCAAGCTCCAAGCTCCATTCCATGCCATAGTACAGATGTGAATTGAATTGAACGAGCATCTCTGATTTTGTTGTGCTGTATAGACTGTGTTCTAAATCATATATAAAGAATCCCACTTCCATTTTTATTTGTTTACCTCACCTCTTGGCAATCATTTCCATTTGGTTTTCTTTTCTCTGTGTGGTTATCCTTGCCCAACACACTGCTTATTCTGAGAGCTTTTAAAGGGCACACCACCTTATTCTGTTTCCTTCTGCTCTCTCTCAAAAGGCTGCCCTGGCATGGCCCAAACTTTAAGACAACTTTTCCTTTCTTCCTGCCAATTTTAGAATCTTTCTGCTCAACATCATCTGATAGAGATTTGGGATGAAATAAAATGAATGTGTATGATTTTCCCTGTAATTTTAGATCCCCAAATACTGCTCTTGGCCAACGACACTATTCCCTGTGGCTTTTCCACTCCACCACATTTGAGTAATATTGTTGGCATGCACATAAGTAAACAGTTTGCGAAATGTCGTGTTTTGTAATTAGGAGATGGATGGGCTGGTTTTTTAATACATGCCTTTGGTTCTACTGTACCAGAGGAAAATGAGTTTCGTCGATGGATGGGAAGACAAAGTGGAGAAAGGTGTTGCTTTCCACAGTTGATGTGCTCAACTTTTCTGCATTGATGGAATCAGTTATTCAGAGGGCAGGATGAAATGGCTGGAGGGCAACCTTCAGAGGGATTTTGGTAATGAGCTAAGGGAGAATCTGCACAGATATAACCAGAAAAAAGCCACTGGCGGAAAATAGGTATTAAATAAAGAAAATATTATATAGTAATAAGGATCTTTTGTCCTTATAGATTTAAAAATATTTATATTTCTTATAGCATTACTAAACAATTCCAGTCTCACTTTCAATTTTGTAAGAACTTTATTGTTATTATAAATTAAAAGTAGGATCTCTAGTCTGAGACCCATATGTATTTCATTTTAACATCATATCAAGTGGATAGTTACCAATTAGCATTTTCAAAATATGTTTCATTGTAAAGGCTGTTTAAATTGGCTAAGTCAGACATACTGCCTCACTTTGAATCATTTGCTACACTGACTCAAGAGTGGGGGTACTTTCCTGCCTCTGCCATTAGCTGCGAAGGTTCAAGCAGGTCAACTCATTAATGCTTCTGAGACTTTCCAACCTGAATAAAATGAATGGGGAG